ACTTGTCCCACTAAATACTTGCTTCCCATAAGTCCCTGTTTGCAGAAAGAAAGTCCTCAATGCTTAAAATATGGCATCTTGTTTTCCTGTTTGAACTTCTGAATCAGCTGAAGCTATTAAAAAAGCCAAAACAATAAATCTGCAAGAGAGAACGACAAATAGGTGCTGTTTATTAGAAGCATAATCAAGCTAATAATAATAATAATAATACATTTTATTTCTTAGGCACCTTTCTTGACACTCAAGGTCGCCTTACATACAAGTAAAAAGTGCATTCTAAAAAAACTGTTAAAATACAAAGTTACAAGCGCCATGAACAGAGAAAGGTGTAGATATTGTGTAAGTACTGTAAATAGGTTTGTCTAAACAGTAAAATAGAGAGCAGGATTATGCAAAATCAATCTATTCAGGACAGTCTGGGTGTTTCCTAAAATAATCAATATTGATAAGACACAAAATCAATCCAAACTTGTAATCAATGTATATGTCTTTTTTTTTTTTCCTTATTGCCCTAATGACATGTTATTCAAGGAGGCACTAGTGGCACAGGGTAAACAAACCACTTTATCTCCTTATTACAACAAGATGGTGCCAGTAAAGGCTTTGTCTGGCATGTCCCTCAGTTACTGTTAAGCTGTTGTTGGCTCGTACCTCAGCCACCTTGAGTAATCCACACTGCATCTTCTCTTCCTGCATTAAACGTTTTTACAGACAGGATCTTGCCCAAGGAAAGTATTTTTAAAAGACGGAAAGCACTTGTATGGGAACAGCTTATTTTTTTTCTTTGGAATGGAGGAAGCCAGGTAATATTATGGTGTAATAGGAAGCATGTGGGAAATCATTATAAACTAATACAAGAATGTATGGTTTCATTTTTAAATACAATTAGTGAATGTCAGGGGCATTCTTAAACCTGGAGGACCTGACTTTGAAGTGCCAAAAAATGTAATAAAATCCATGTAACTAGTTCTGAGCTCTCAAAACAGTTTGGTTCTATCACTAGTTTTCACGTGAGGGCTGGTTCTGTCACAAAAGCTTTTTCAGAGACAGAACCAGCCCTCACTCAGCCAATCAGCTCTCAGTATGTAAAAGATAACATGTTTACTAATCAGATAAGGGCACAACATTTTAATTAAACAAGTTAGGAACACAAGCTTTAATGAGACTCCTGGGTTGTTCAAATCCAGAAAGAAATGTATAATTTTGTGTTTTTTAGTTCATACCTTGATGTTGTTACTTTAAGAAGCAGAAATGGGAAAATAATGCAGTGCTGCAGTTGGTCTGAAAAAGGAGCTGGAGCAAAGTGGATCTCTGCGGGCCAGTTGGACTCGGATCAGGACCCAAAAACACTGTGGTTGCTACGGAGACGGAGGAACGTTTCCCCTTTATAATAGAGACCTCGTCCCACTCTGTGAACAAAGAAACTACACAGACATGGAAGAATTTGAGACGTTGATTCTAGATTTGGTCCCGGTTCGTTTTAGTTTAACTATAACTTCTGGTTTGGAAGTTTTATTGGTTTAGCCCAGATTTTGGATTTGTCATTTAGGTAAATCTCCTTGTTGTACTTTGCCACTGGCTTTACGCTCCTCAGATCTAACCTGTAACATGGCCTGGTGACAAGTTTATTGTCACGGATATTAACTTTAATTTTATGGAGGCAAAGCAATAACTTTTCCTTAGAGGTTAAGGTACACTACTTAATGATCTCATTAGTTTGCAGAGCATGTGTCCTTGAGCTGAAAGTTGGCGGTTCAAATCCTGCTCCCGACAAAAACACCATTGGCTTTACTTATCCACCGGTTTGTAGGTGTACCATGTGTCCTTGGGCAAGACTCTTAACCCACCTTGTCCCCACCTAAGATCTTCTCTGTGGTCAATAAAAACAGCGATCTTATGCCTATGATATTGCTGAGCAGTCAAAATTTAAAATGGCGGTGACTCGTGCAGTCTCACTGCTTCTTGTCTCTCGACTATCTTCGAGCAAATGCAAATCGTATGTTACTGCCTGAATGCAGACATTTTTACCTCTTTAAGCGACACATCATATTCCCCATGAAGATTTTTTTTCTTTTAAGTTAAAAACATAGCTATCCAAAATTATTTAATTATTAATTATTTTAGTGCACTGTGAACTGGGTGGCATCTCTGGCAACCCCCCCGACCCAGAAATGGATTAAGGGGTAGAAAATGGATAGATGGATGGTATTTTAGCCAATGGTATTGAATAAATAAAACATGGGTAATGGATTCTGAAACATTCACTCGAAAGGCATTAAACATTAACACTAAATAACAATATTGTTATTGTGTAATTCTATATAACATGGGAAGCACTTTTATTTTTAAACTTGCTAAACATTCTGTCCATGCTGATATTAAGTGGAAGTGTTACATGTGGAGGTTTCTGGGTTTATTCCTGCTGCTGTGGCCCAGAGCTCAGTGTCAAATCCAGTCTGGGATGTAACGGTGAGGAAATGAAGTGTGTTTCCCCTCACACAGCCAGACGCCTCAGCTCCACACGGCCAAAAAAGGAATCAAATCCTCTCCGCAGATCAACCGAGCTGCCAAACGTATTCCTGTGAACGTGTTCTTGTGTGGGGCCCTATCAGGAGACAAAATGTATACAAAAAGGTGAACAAAAAGCGTCGGGGGATTTCACAGAAAATGTTATAGATATTGTATATTTATGATATATGGAGGCCTAATGTGAAATTTTGATATAGTAAATAGACGAGTAAATAATAAACGTGACGTTTAATGGTGTTTTGGTTTTTGGTCTGATAGAAATATAGTTATACAATAATTTTCTGCTTTGTTTCATTTAGTTTACGTCCATTTTAACCTGGAAAGACATTTGCATATCAGTTTGGCATATCATAGGTTGGATATGATTTTGGTGCTTAGACCCCAGAAATATTGTATGGCGTATGCAGGAGGGAATTAAACATAGATTATGGAAGTAAAATCCCCATGGGGTCTGGACCATGGTCTTGGTGTTGACATGAAGAGAGTTGAGGTGGTGATGGGGAGGAGATGGGTTGCTGCACAAGCAGGAGCTTAGTGAAGAGCTGTGAGGCACTGTTCAAATGCAGCCAGTGAAGTTGGGCGGCTGATGAGCACAGGGCTGTAGCAGTGCGAGGATTCACTGAGATCTATTCTGAACTTTTGCTTTATCTCCATTTCTCTTTTTTTTTCCGAAAAGTCTTTTTTAAACAGACAAAAGTGGAACCGGAGAAATTGGACCTACGTGTCTGTTTGATAGTCCTTTTGGTACCGAAGGAGTTGAGTAGCTGCATGAGCTCCTGAAACTAGGACACTTTCTATACAGTGACCTTGCAACAAAAGTTGTTCTTACACATTTCTTTCTTTTATGGATGTTAAAAAAACTAATATTTCTTTAACATCCATAGCATCTCTTATAACGTCACTTTTCTTAAATTACTTTTGCACATTACATATACAAAGATGTTTTATAAATTGATAAGGTAATTTGGAAGTTTACTCTACTTTGCCTAAAACGTAATATGGTTAACGTTTGGACTGGATTGGGCTTTAGATTTGACTGCACTGTGTCAAGTTGAGAACTTGTTGGCTCGTGCTGTTTTGAGCTCTGTGCTCGAGACGCATCTCCAGCACATGGAGAGAAAGGAGGGGAGGTGAAGCCGCATTCTCTAACATGAAAAATAGTCCAACTGATTAGTCGACATCTGGAAACTATTCAGACCTCGGTTCTTCCTGGTCGACCCCTGACAATGTGCACCAGGACTTACACTTCTTTCATGCGGCTCATCACGCACTCACCTTGTCCCACATATGACAGAAAAATGCTTTTGTGTAAAGTAATTTGAAGTACAAGGAAAGAAAAAAGTAGGTCAATACGCCATTTCAACATCTGCTCACATCATACTGTACTTTTCCCAGCCGCATCATTCTTTCACTGGTGCATGGGATGAGAAACTGTCATGTTACTTCCATTTACAGGGCTGTGTTTTGGCAGAATCTTATTTTGTAAGGTCTCTAGTATCGTAGAAGCTGGATTCTAGGATTTTTTGAGGACTGTCCATTTAGGATTTTCACCTCAAATTTGTCACTTAATTTGTATACTGACCATAAAGTACACAGTTCCTACTATCATTCCTGTGCCATAGTAAATTATGACTGGTGAAATGACAGTGTAATTAGTATTCCTCGGCTTTTTTCGGCTCAAAATGTCGTACTCTCGACACTGATTGCCAGGTCCATCAGTCACTCTCACATCTGGTGTCTTGCTCTCCTGTGTTTGGCCGTGGCTTGAGCTGAGAAAGGGGCTTCGTGGTCATCCCTAAATTGGAAACAGCTGAATGATTTTGCAACGGTTCCGCAAATGTGTTACTTTTTTCACCTTTATCTTAAACTCGACACGTTTAGTTTCTGAGTCTCACACTGATGAGCTCTGCTGTCCTCCATGGTCAGGCTCTCATGACTTTTTAACCATTGATGTAGTTTTTAGTAATTATACAGTTTATTGAAATTGCATTTAATTTTTTTCTGAAAATGTATGCGCCGGTATTGATAGTATTTCTCCACCTTGGTTAACCAGATAGGGTAGGGTTTTTGATCACCTTTGTTTCAGTGATCTGCCCAAACTTAAATTTATTTCTGTAATTCACATTGAAACCAACATTTGAAGTCTGTATATTCTATTATTCTCTTACAACAAAATTAGTAAAATTACGACAAATAAATGCTTGATATCTCACGTGTATCTTACCTGCTAGTTTCTCATTATACATTGAATTATAGAAGTAAATGGACGTTTGAACAGTATTCCAATTTTTCTTTTGGACATGGCTGATCTAGTGGTAACATATTCTATAGATGAAATAGCAAAGATTTCAAATATAAAAAAATTATCATGGTATTTCCTATTTTCATGGTTTGAGCATCATTATCTACAGGCTGATTGATACATTGCTTTTTCCTTTATTAAACTGTAAATTCCCATCTGTCCTCCACAGGAACGCGTCGCAGATCAAGCAGCTGCAGGACCAGATCTTACTGGAGCTACAAGAGGCTGCGCAGTGGCAACAACAGATCCAGGAACTCCCGCCGCCACCTCAGCTCCCACCGCCACAGCAAACACTTGCCCCACCTGCGGACGCCCCTCCCCCCGCCCCGCCTTCACCGCCGCTCCCCCCACCTCCCTCGTTTCAGGAGCTGGAGAGCAGCACCAACTCCCCCACCGTCGTCATGCAGGCCAGCACCTTCAACTACGCCCGGCCCAAGCAGTTCATCGCAGCACAGAGCTCGGTCGTGTCGCCTTACTCCCCCTCCTCACCCGTCTCCAGCCTGTCCTCCCCCCTGTCTCCCTCCTCTTCCCACAAAGCCTTCGGCAGAGTCGCCCTCCCTACCTTCAGCAAGGCGCCCAGTGTTGAGTCGCCCGGGTCTCCCTCGTTCCCGCCCCCTCCGCCGCCCTTCCTGAGCCCCACAGGTTTTCCCTCTTCCGCTCAGGACTTCCCCCCTCCTCCTCCACCACCTCCCCCCCCTCCTCCCCCTGTGTCCCCACCGCAGTCAGAGACCTCCTCCTCGCCGTACTCCTCGGTGCCTGCGTCTCCTGCCTCCAGTTTTCTGTCCTCTGTGCTGCCATCGCCTCCCCCTGCTCCGGCCCCTGGCAGCCCCATCGTCAACGCCCTGGGGCTGCCCAAAGGCAACGGCACTGTGTATGTACCACCCTCTCACCTTATATCACCCCGATACATACGTCACGATTCATGGGTCAGCAAACGATTAGATGCGGCATATCCCCATACTAGATAATAATTTTTTTTACACACAAACACACATTATTTTTTTATTTTTATATATATATATATCTATATATATATATATAGATACATATATATATATATATCCATATATATAGGTATATATCTATATATATCAATATATCTTCTATCATTCTGTCTGCTTTTTGAAAAAGGCAGGAGGCCCATCTTGAGCAACTCTAGAGTGTGGGCTTCACATCTGTCTTATTACATAATGTAGGTTATACAATACATCAGACTGAGAACGACATGTTTACATTTTTATACGACGCTCATGGAATGGTACATGTGTAAGATTAACAAAGACAATCATACAAATCTTAAGTATATACAAAAATAAATGATTAGTGTTTTAAAATGTTTATGGAACAAATGTTATTCATCTCGTAGCACTTTGTGTTTATCCTAATATACAGTAATGTGATTAGTATAAACAGTGCATGCAATAAAAACTCATAAACATATTTTTTTCATCACATGATATTCTCACGCAAGGTCTTGGACAACAGCTAGATTCAGACCGTAGTGTTAGCGAGTGTAAATTTGACTGCTCTATTGCGTGCCTTACCAAGTTATTGAATATGTTTTATATTGACTTGGCCTTGATGCTCTTTTCCTACCAACATTCCACCTTTATTTCTTTGCCACAGTGATTGTTTATCAGTGTTTAGCTCAGCACTGCTCTCCCCCTCATTCCCGGGGAGATAAGAAGACACCGCTGCAGCTGAACATGTCCAGATTAGGTCTAAGTTTTAGGCCTGAATGAGATTTATACTGACAAATGCTTGTGTCTGTTTTTAGGAAAGCATTTCCAAAGAAACCAGTGAGCAGCCGGACGCCCCGTATCGTGTCTGACTCCGACATACAGGGCTCCAAAGACGCTGTGATCCAGGATCTCGAGAGGAAGCTGAGATTCAAGGAGGAAAGGATCGGCAATGGGCAACAGGTAAGTGCATAGATCAGAAACGGGTGTGGGTTGGACTAGGAAGTAGCTGATTATTATGGCTTATATAATGTTGTATAAATCATATAAAATAAAGCAAACATGAACGTTTTTGTATTATTAAAACCGATGAATCTTCCAAAAATCTTCCTTATAGCTCCATTTATAAAGTTACAGACATTACAATAGATTAACAGGAAATGTGCTCCTGCTAGTTTATGTTGAAATCACCTTCTTCCGCATTCTACAAACATTACGGGGGACTTGGATAGTCCACTCCTAATATATGGTCTATGTTTCAGACTACTGTGCAATAGAAGTAGATAGATACAAGAGTAAATCAACAAAAACGGTTTCCTATAAAGATCAGATTGAATATTTCTTCTATTACTGTCTGAGCGCCCCCTTTTTAAAAAATCCTTTAAACATAACCCAACTTTTACTTGTGTGAGATCTTTTGTTTGGTCATTTCATACAAATGTGTGCTCTCTATAACCAATTAACAAACCAGGGACCCCATGTGTTCTTATTAACTTGTTTTGATGTGTCCCGTGTGCCTGGCCGCTAACCCACTAACCCGCTGCTTGCAGAGGTTAACGTACGAGGAGAAGATGGCGCGCAGACTCCTGGGAGCCGACAACGCGGCCACCGTCCTGAGTACGGACACAGAGGAAGAGACCAGCAGCACCCAGGTACCAGCTCCTGCATGGACCCTTCACATGCATCTGACCACACTGCGGCTTTATGATGTCATCAGATAGTGCCCTGCGTAATATAAACATGTGTACTGAGAACAAGAATTATCACATAAATAGGACAACATATTATATTCAATATTCTTGATTTAATATACAGTACATACATATTGTTATATTATAATTGTTTATGATTTTGGGGTTTTGAATAAAAGCATTCATAGAGCACAAACCTCCGTCCCATCAGAACATCCAGAGCTCCATTCCATAAATATATTCCTGGATCCAGATGGTGATTTGGATAACCTCCAAAATGTAATTGATTGTCCCATGTACCATTTCCAACCTTGAAGATTCCATAACTTGAGTTAAATCAAACATTCAAACTCTACTATGTCTATACTTTGAAGTGTATGTCTCACTATTGTTAAAGTTAGGATCCCAAAGTAGATCGATAGATCATCTATCACTATCCAGTAGGAGCAGAAACACATCCATTCACACAAACAAAACAAATTAAAAGATTATTCTAAAAAGAGCTAACAATAGTATCAAAAATAGAAAGTAAGATGCACACTCATGACATCATAATAAGGCGACGGTTTCAAAGAAAAAAAAATGTCCCCGCATTTTTTGGCTTCACAGAAAACTGTTGGTGTCACTGTGAATCACTTGTTCTGTTTGAGCACTTTTCCATAAGATCACACACGCACCACCATCGTGTTTGGGCGACTTTGAAAGCCGGGTATAAACACAGTAAAGTGCTCCAGACATCTCCACAAATAGCTCTGTTTATGAAAACTTCAAGCAGCTGGTTCGTGTTTCGTCTCAGGGATGACACGGTTTGAAGGACGTCTGATTACTTACTGTAATCATTTGTCTGACGTGTCGGCAATATGTTGAGCTTATAATTGAATACATGTGGAATATTGTGAAAAACCTATTGTGGGACAAAAGGAAATCTCATGAACTTTGATCATATGAATTAGAACCACTCTGTCTGCAGCTGCTTTAGAATTAGACTTTCAAACAAGGTATTCAATTCAACTCTATTCAATTTATTCTTGTATAGCCTTAAACCACAACATTAGTTATCTCTGAGGACTTTACAAAACCGTTGAGTTTACCAACATAGATCAGAGAATCAAGCAGTTCAAACATAAAAGAATAGAGAACACATATGTGTTGGTCCATAGGGGAGAGATTACCAATGTCCAATGTCCATAAATGTTGTCAAATGTTGAGGGTCCTGGATCATCACCACAGTCCTTTTAGTATTCATATTATTTTTAATGTGAAATAGTCTCAAACACACTCAAAAACACACATACACACACGCACGCACACACGCACGCACACACACACACACACACTGATGCTACATGCGGTCACTCTGGTGGTGTCTGGTTTTCTTGCAGCTGATGCATGTGGCGCTGCACCGAGGCCATGTGTGGAGGTTATTGGCTTTTCTTTGGGCTTTGAAGTTTTACTGCCATGTTGAGCATGTGTTTACTAATTGTGAGTTTAAAAGCCACTCCATTTGAACCATAAACACCCTCCTACCACCCGTGTAAAGTGTCACACTAGTGCCACAGTTTGACAGCAATAAACAAAAGACCAAATGATGTATTTTCTCTCAACAGGAAGACAAGGCAGCAGAGTCTTATCCTCAAAAGGTTATTTTAAGTTTTATCCTTCTATCCAGTCACTGATTATGCAAAAACATGTTCACGAAATAAGAGTTTTGATTTGAACGGCAGTAATACACATTTCTTCTAGATTAAGCAAGGCAAGTTTATTTGAATAGCACAGTTCTTTGATAGGGAAACTGCTTACAAAACCAAGGTAACAATAATACAAGGCATAGAAATCCCAGTATTTTACAAGGAGTGAAGATACAATCCTTCAGTTGTATGCACAGCTAAACAGAGCTGACTTTTACCTGGATTTGAATATTGTCAGAATAGAAGCCTGTCCCACATTTTCAGGAAGACTGTTGGAGAGTTTAGCTGCTTACATCTAAAATGCTGCCTCCCCATGTTCATCTTGGACTCAATTCAAATCTTGTGCTTTTTGCAGTCACATAAATGAAGTATCAATAATGGGGAAGGCACCTCTAAGCTTTTTGCTTCTGCATTCTTCTTTTGAACTTTCTTTCGTGAATTTTATGTGCATATAAAAAAATACATTATAAAACTGCTCAAATAAAAATACCACTACTATAAATACTGCTACTACTGCAATAGAAACAGCCACTACAAACGTTTGCTTTGCATTACGTTTTGCTAAATAATATAGTTATTAATAATATAGCAAGGGGGATCTTTGCATCGTAGCATTGAACTTGCTTTGTGCACCACTTTACTTTTAGTTTACAAGTATTAACATGGCAACAAATGGTTTCAAAACATAGCCATCGGGTTTACGTTCAAGATTCACCTTCAATTCAAGAGGTTTTGCCCCGATGACTACCTATTGAAAACCTCGCAATAAGCAATACCCGTGTTACTTTGTGGTAGATTTTTTTCCGCATGCCAAGAACCCTGGATGCACTTTTGCGTTTTACTTTCGCTGCCACGTGAAGCATGCAGCAGCTGACATCAAAATAGTCCATAAGTGGCATCTACATAAAGTCAAAACAAACTCCATCAAAAGAATATACGGCCACAGCAGCTGTTCTTTGGACCCGGGACTCTTTCAGACTTTACGGTGCGGCTCTGCGTGGTGCGTTCAAGGACTGCAGCTGTGTGTGCACCCTGTCATTATCAGAGTGATGTGTCAGTGGACTTCGACAGATGTTCAGCCTCTCTCCCTGAGACGATGACAGATGGATGAGCGGACAGTCGGGAGTGGCACTAAAAGAACTGACTTTACTCTTCAAACAATTTCTATGACTATGTATTTGACTATGTATTTTGTATTAGGGGATAATGGCTATTCTTAAGACAGTTAGTTGAAAAAAACCCAGGAAAGGTCCTCCATTGCATTAGAAAATATACTGTTCAAATCCAGGCCTTTTTGTCCTATCTACAAAGCAACATGTACAATCCTTCCTGGTTAAAATAAAATAGAATATAAATAGAATATTGCATCTATAATGAGTGACAGTAATTACAAAACTCACAAACAAATTATTAGCATAACACCTTTTAGGGTGTTGTGCTAGGATCAAGTCTCCTCGCATTTCTCGTTATTGTGTCAAAGCAGCAATGTTCCCCTTTTTTCATTTCCTAGCCACAACACGATTGAGAACTGGGGGTAGATACTTGTGTTGTCATGCTACTGTTGTCATTATAGTTTGAAAATAGAAAATATGACCCAAATCAAAATGTCTGCCTGGGTGTATTTCAAGCACCGCTGTATTCCTTGTTATTGTTTCCACCTGCTGTCCCAGTTTAAAATGGCATCTTGCGCTGAAAACATTATGTTTTACTGGGAGCATCCAGCTTGGTGCTGTCATTGGAGTACAGTAAATTCAATGTTGTTGCGGTATATGTCTCTATCCCAAATTCAATCACTTCAATCCATTTTTATTTTTAGAGTGCTTCACAAGAAGCTTATTTTAAGTGCTTCACAATAAAATCTTATCAAATCTATTAAAACATTCATGCAATAAAAAAATGAAAGTTGGAAAGCATTAAAAAGCATTGAAAAAGTGCCACCGCGGTAATTAAAAGTGTTAAAAGTCAGTCTGAATAGATTCAAAAGGGCCAAAATCAGTAAGCAATCGCATATCAGGGGGCACTTTGTTCCAGAGTCTGGGTCCAGCGGTCGAGAACGACCGATCACCCCAGTGTTCGGGGCGCTTCGTCACATGTTACACATACCCCCGCGCTAAAACTCGGTGTTTGTGCGTTGCAGGAGTACAAAGTGTCGAGCTTCGAGCAGCGTCTGATCAGTGAGATCGAGTTCCGTCTGGAGCGATCGCCGGTGGAGGAGTCCGATGATGACGTCCAACACGATGAAGACTGTACAGAGGGAGACGCACCCGCCATCGACCACAAACTCAAACACTGCAAAGTCTTCGAGGGGATGCCGGTCACGTTCTCCTGCAAGGTCACCGGAGACCCCAAACCAAAGGTAACAAGGGATTTCTAGTCAATAGGTGTCAGAAGGCATAATAACACAATAGCTGTTTCAAAGTGTGCAGTTATAATGATGTGGAGGGAATTATCTTGTATTAGAAATAGGGCTTTCAAACTATTAATATTTTTTATCAAGTTAATTGCAGCTTAAAAATGTATTAACCGTAATTAATCGCATTTCCAATCATCTGCAAAATTATGCCATATTTTTCTGTAAATGGTTGTTTGAATGGAAATATAAATCACAACATAGTGTTCATAAGTACTGTATTTGTGTATGAATTCAGGCCATAAAAAGTTCTGTGCAGAAACTTTGTGTGACGCTAGCCCCGAATGGGGAAAGGGCCTATTGTTTTTGCTCGAGAGATGTCAAATTCTGCACTTAGAGCCTTAATTTCACCCCCTGAACATGCATGAAAAGTTGTAAAATCAAACATCAGACGTGGTGAAAAATAATTTTAGTGTTTATTTTTATGGGACTCAAAAAATGCCAGAACAGTGCCACCTACAACAGCCAATGGGAGTTTCAGATGTCAAGTTTGTCGTAGAGCCATGAAATTCCTCAAGTCAAGATAAGACCAAAATGTTATCATGGCTCCGCCCTCTGACAAACAGGAGGCCCATAAATTTCACTGCAAAATGGAAAAATGAACAGCAATCATTTTCATACGTTGGATGGTTGGAAATCTTCTCCTCCTCGGCCGTTTCACTGATTTGCCTCAAAATCGCTCCATATCATCTCAACACATGTACCTTCAAAATGACCAAAAGGATTTTTGATCAGTGAAACGTTGCACAAACAAAGTCTGATTTGCACAAAACTTGAATCCAATGTTCAACTCCAGGGTTTAGGTCAGGTGAAAGTGAAATATTTGAAATCGGCCCGTTAGCGCCCCCTACAGATTGAGGCAAAGTTTTACATGGGGTGCCAAACAGCTCCAGTCATCATATTCATTACAATTTGACTACCGTTCTTCTATGGCAACAGCAACAAATCAACACACAGCGGCCCCACCTCCTTTGCGCGGTGCTGCGTGGTACGGTGTGGTGCGGCGTAGTGCGGGGCGTTGTGGAGCGGCGCGTTACGGCTTGGTGCAGGGCGGCGGGGTGCAGGGTGGCTTGATGCATGGTTCGGGGCGGCTTGGTGCGGGGCGGCTTGATGCGGGGTGGCTTAATGCGGGGTGGTGCGCGCGGTGCGGCGAGGGCCATTCGACGCCGCTTGCGGCTTTAATTTTTTTGTACATTTGCTGACATAGAATTGACTGCTTTAACCATCATAATATTCCACTCACTCACTCGTCTTGAAACTTCAGCATCTTTTGTTGAAGCCAATAGAACACACAGGAATCATTACAAAATCATTACGTCTTCGCTTTTACTCCCATTTTCATTTTTTTTTGTCCTGCCTTTGTTTTGCCTGAGGGTTTACACTACAGAATGATGTGAAATGCCTCCCTGGGGTTTAATCAGAAGTGCGTCAGAGCCGGAGCTGGTGCTGACGGCTCGTGTTTTGGATGGAGGGCGTCGAGTCGGAGTGTACGCAGCGTGTTGAGATAAGAGAGGCCCCTGACACACTGATGACAGCAGCCAGGAAGTGGGGAAATAAAAACCTCTTTGGACAGCAGATAACTCATTTGGGAGACTCTATGTGGGTTTGAAATGAACACAGGCGAGATTTTCATTGAGGCAACTAATACTTTCGCCTTAATTATTCAACAATAGACGAGGCCATAATGCAGCCTAATCTAATTTTCGGAACCACCACAACCATCCAAATTTACTTGACCACTATCGTCAATGCCAAGCTAGTACTTAAACTTGTATGTATCTTTATTTTGTATAACTCTTCTATTTTGCTGTAGCACTTTGAGATTTTGTGTGCTATAAACAAAATCTATTTAAAAATGGCACCTTTTATCCTGAACTAGAAAACAAAGGAAGCACTCAAAATGCAGTATGTAAATAACAAAAGGAATGTCCAAGATGAAAATCAAATTTCAACAAAGGAAGTGGGGCAAAAACACAAGTGAAACACATTAGGCTTGGACAGACAATCAACAGGGATACGGGACAGGAGATAAAAAATATATAAAGAAGAATCACAACAGAACCATGACCCAAATAACAAAAATAATCGCATATCACCAGAATGATTGACAACTAGGAGGACCAATAATCTGATTCTGGATGATCCACCTGGAAGAAGAAAATCCAAACCGCCCATATGTTCTACGTTATCTGTCCTGGAAGTTAAAACATTGAGTCAGCCAGTAAAAAGTCTCAATATATCCCATATGTCCCAATCTGGATTTCATTGACATCCAGACAATAACTTGACTTAAATAAATCAGCTAACCCAAAATATGTTGCAGGTTTACTGGTTCAAAGACGGAAAGCAGATCTCGAAGCGGAGCGAGCACTACAGGATCAGCCGGGACGCAGACGGCACCTGCTCCCTTCACACGGCTGCTGCCTCTCTGGACGACGACGGCAACTACACCATCATGGCCGGGAACCCCGGGGTGAAACTTTACAGACATTAGCTATTACATTAATCTTTTACCATTCCTCCACCCGCTCTATAGTACGATGAGTTATTGTGCTGTACATTTAGTTTTTTTTTAATTGTCAAAATCCAATCTCAGGTCATCTGTTGTAGCCCTATACGTATCATCGAGGTCCGGTTCAGCCCAAACGTAGTGCTGTCAGTTTTATTGGACAGAGAACACACAGGCCTTGCCAGGGTTCATTGAGGAGACAGATGATGATGAGATAATGGCTCGAAAAGGAAGTGGGAGTGAAGGGAGACAGGAAGTTACCAAAGCTCTGATGAGTTCACCGCTCTGACAGATCATCTTTGAGTTTGGAGTTGAGCCAAACCAGCGCAGAAGCAGATGAGTAAGACCCAACCATGGCCCAGGCAGATCATTCTGGATTAAGAGCATGAGCCTATTAGCTATGTGTCATAGTTACTCCTAATATAGACTTGTTTTCAAACCAAAATTTGTTTCTGACCAACTACTACTCTTTAGAATTTACAGAAACATAAAGGGCAGAGATCTAACTGCGTATACCTGTAGGGTATGAGTATATGCAATATACAGCCTATAGGGGATTGTTCACAAATAGGCTTAAAACTCCAACTCCCAGAGCCGTCACTTTGACAGTTTTTTGTTTTGTAATTACTTAATAAATGTTTGACCTTTACCTCTCAGAGCAGTGTCAATGCTGGTTACCATAGCAACATAATGTTTACTTGCTACCAGTTAGCATTTCAACAAAATGCTTTTTTGCTGTATTTAAAGTTATATTAACCAGTTTTAGCACTTAGTAAAAGTGAGTAAAAGTTAAAAACACCCTTATGAATTACCTACTTTTAATATATATATATATAATATACTTTTTTGGGGCAATTTCTCAGAATTCCATTGGTTTGTTTGAATAAGAGCAGTGAAAATGGCGGCTTTGGGTATTCTATTAGTGTCATAATTGTGGGAGTCTTAGTGTTAACGTAATATATGTAATGTTTTCTTTACTGAGAACCTGAGTAATTCAGCTTTATTTGTCAATGTTGTCTGTAGTGTGAAAAGTGTAATAACTCTTCTGGTTTTGATCTAAACGTGTGTGTGCCTGGTTTCAGGGCAGAGTGAGCTGCACGGGGCGGATGATGGTCCAGGCTGTGAACCAGAGAGGACGAAGCCAGCGTTCCACACCAGGACAAATGCGGAGGTAATTCATAAAATAAAATAAAAACACTGTGTACAGTATATAATGCTATTGTTTATTGACATAGCAACATGAAAGTACTGTATCATCAGCAGTATGGAATAGACCAGTTTTGATTGCATTTCTGAGTACTGAACTGGCCGCTTCTATGATTTTCATCTCTTATAACCATCTATAGGCAATGCTCAGACACTTTCTCAAACCCAAATACAGAGATTTATCTCTCAGACGCTCTGGACCCTTCCATAATCCTGCCTCAGACACAGGGGGTTGGAGATCAGCTCGTCCCACTCTCTTTGTTGTGAAAAGTCCACAGCCTTTGATACGATAATAGCAGACGTCAATGTTATTTTAGACATGATCTCAAAAAGTTCTTTGAAACCAGAGACAAACCAAAAAATTGAACCCTCCGAAACCGTTTCTTCGTTCACTCAACCTTTGGAGAAAGTTGTTTTAGTGTTTTGGTACATTTAGCTGAGATTCATTGGTTTCCTTGTTGTACACTGTTTACAAGAACTCCCCCAATGTATCGCATGGTTCATTAGTTGATAGGTATATTGATTGGACTGGTATTTAGAATGAAAATATCCCAAAAAAAATTTTCAATTCTGAGTCTTCTTTACACACAAATTACACAAACCTTTGCTTTGTGTAATTTTCCACACAAACTTTTTCTCACTGGTGCGAAAAAAATACAATTTGTTTTTACGACTGGTCCCACACATGAAATTATAAAAGGATAATAATGGATCTTAAATGTGGCTCACTGGACTTGCTGGTCTCGCTGGTCTCATTGATCTCATTGTTATTGCTGGTCTCATTGGTCTCGCTGGTCTCTCTGGTCTTATTGGTCTCACTGGTTTCCTTGGTCCACCCTCAGGTCCAGGTCGCGCTCCAGAGACAGCGGTGATGAGAACGACAACATCCAAGAGCGCCACTTCAGACCACACTTCCTGCAGGCACCAGGAGACCTCATCGTGCAGGAGGGCCGTCTCTGCCGGATGGACTGCAAGGTACTTTAACTCATGATGAAGACCAGTCTCACATTTTCAGGAAGATTGAGCGTGGTCCTCTCTTTTTCACATTTCAGTTTAAAAAAGCTTACTTACTTACTTACTTACTTACTTAGATAGACTCCATTCTTTGCAGGTTGAAAGTTATGTACCCCAGCTTTGTTCCTGACATTGACTTTTAATTTGATTGGACCTGCCCACCACTCTGGTTGATCTTAGAGGAAATAAAGCCTTGGGTCGGGTCATGATAGCACAGAGGCATTGGCTGAAAAAAGAGTCGAGTTGCTTTGGCCAAAAATCTAAATCAAAGTTATAGTGAAGTCAGTGCTATTTAATCCTGTGCTTTCATTCAGGGAGGTTCCAAGAATCCTTTATGTGAATTGAGTTTCAGGCAGTAAAACCCAACAGAGACCAAATGTTTCTTCCATTTACTTTGTTTTGAATGGACGCCTTACAGAAGTGTTGGCTTTCATAGCTTAGAATGAGTTTTTAGACAATTATATGTATTTAAATGTATGTATGTATGTGTATAATTTGGTCTTTTGCTTTTGTCGAATAATGTTTTGCCAGTTTTTGTCCCGATTTGCCCTGCCGTGTACCAGAATGAACCCTTTGAAAACGCAACATTGTAAAACAAGGCAGCAATTAGTCTGCTATAAAAGAGTGGCTGGATAGAGGCTCACTGTATTTCTTATTACTGCAGAATATGGTCTTTCAGAGGTTCTTCAGTCATCGGCAACTTTGCTCATTACATTTTACACCGATTTTTTTCTCCTAATAATGAAAGACACGGCGCTTTGTTTTTAAAATTAGTTGTTTTTGTTGTAAGGTTGGAGAGTTTAAAACAAGCACTACTTTTAAGTCAATATTTCTTTCGCATCACTGCCGTCCAAACTTACAGAGCTAAAAATGTCCAGAGTCTATTGGTGATCTTCCAGCATAGCTCTAGTTCTGTGCACTCAATCAAATATGAGCTGTTTTTACTTACGCAGCGACGACTGCATAAACACAGACAAAACGCATTAACCACTGTTTTCATTTTCCCAAGACTCAACTAATCGCAAGAAGAGGGAAACTAAAATGGAAGATGAGGGTCACATTTTTATATTATCCTAAAGACCAGTGTATGATGGCAGCTGTTTAAGCACTTATAACCCTTTGCTTATTTTGTCTAAAACTACTGAAGACAAATTGGTATTGATAGCACTCTCGCCTCTCAGCAAGAAGGTCCTGGGTTCGAATCCCGGTTGGACCATGTTCTCCGGTTTCCCCTACCACTAAAAACATGTACAATAGGTCTGGCATACGCCCCTGTACTGGCGAACCCGCTCCCATCTCTGTGTGGAGTGAGAGACAGATGCCCAAAAATAATAACAATTGTAAACCGCTTTGTGACTCTGGTCTGTGAAAGGCGGTATATAAATAAAGATGACTTACTACTTACTTACTAGAGTCTTTTTAGAAGGTGATGCGCTGTAGTTTTGCCATCTGATGACTCTAATTTTTCAAACTCTGTCCAAAATGTTTGCATTTTGGTAAATATATATGAGCTAGTATCTGGGGACTGCAGAAAGACAACTGTTGGATTTTAACTATTCCCCTTTAACAGCTGAGGCAACTGTCACTAGAAATGAGATTTGGGGACCTGAAAAAAGTTAAAAGCTCTAGCTGGAACACATGTGCAATTCCTAGGAACCTAGGAGGGCGGCACGTTGGCTGAGTGGATAGCACTCTCGCTTCTCAGCAAGAAGGTCCTGGGTTCGAGTCCCGGTTGGACCAGGGCCTTTCTGAGTGGAGTTTGCATGTTCTCCCCGTGTCTGCGTAGGTTTCCTCCGGGTGCTCCGGTTTCCCCTACCACTAAAAATATGTACAATAGGTCTGGCATGTGCCTCCTGTACTGGCACCCCCACTCCCAAAAATAACAATTGTAAACCGCTTTGAGACTACGATGTGCAGTGAAAAGGCGGTATATAAATAAAGATTACTACTACTACTACTACTACTACTTTTAGCATTTTTGTATCACTATTTTCATTTGTGAGTTTGGAGCTCAATCCCAGGTTCATCCCAGGAAAATTTTACTGGAAAAAAAAGGGACACATCTTGATCTTTCACATTTCTAGAAAACAAAAACATGTAGTAAAATACCAAATACAATGAGATCAGACGAAGTGAAGTTGTCAGAATCATAAATGAAGTTACAATTCTAGGGAAATCTAGGGAACTGATAATTAAATTTAATTCTATTCAATTAATACTTGTACAGCCGTAAATCCCAACAGGAGTTATCTCGGAGGACTTAACAAAGCCGTTGATTTCGCCAACACAGATTAGAGAATCAAACCGTTCAAACACAAGAAATGCAATGATTTTAAATAAAAAATATTTGTGATAGTTATGAGCACTTATAATAATGCTCAAAACCTTTTAATTATGCTGAACTTAACAACACTATTCTGGTTAGAAGGCAGGTGTTCTGATCTGTTGTCCATTTTAAAATCATGAACACATTCGATTTTTGACACTTTGTACGATCAAACTCGGCTGATTTTTAATTATTGATTTGATGCACTGGCATAGCACCATAAATCTCACATGTCCTCGTTCCCTGCGCAGGTGAGCGGTTTGCCGACCCCGGACCTGGTTTGGCAGCTGAACGGGCAGACGATCCGCCCGGACTCGGCTCATAAGATGCTGGTGCGGGAGAACGGGGTGCACTCTCTGGTGATCGAACCTGTGACCAGCCGCGACGCCGGAATCTACACCTGCATCGCCAGCAACCGCGCCGGCCAGAACTCCTTCAACCTGGAGCTCATCGTGGCAGGTGAATGTTCGGCTTCTAACTGGCTGTTTTTGTTTGTTGGCGGTCCAAGGTCCAATATTTAGTCTTAGAAATATAGCTGTTGTTTAAAGTGAATGGAGAATTTGTTTCCCTTTAGACACCATAGATTTATGTATTTGATGTATGAAATGGACAATTGTAATATTCCTGAAACTTACAAGAGATATAGATATTGAAATTATGAAAACAAATATATTTTAAAAAACTGGTAGTTTATGGTAGGACAACAGGTCTGGTTTTTACTATAATATCCCATTGACACTGAATTTTAGTTAATTACTGTACCTCTAGTAGTGTTTGACCTCTTTGTCTACTTTGGTTTGGGCAAATGAGAAAGTCTACAAGTGATAATAACTGGTAATACTGTGTTGGGAGACCTGTGGGAACATCAGGTGCCACAGTGGGGCGGCTGTAAAGTGCCAAACTGTTGTTGTGTCCTTATTGTGTCTGCTGGATTTTATAAAGTGGACTGAAACAAACTTGGGTCAATCTACAACTGTTATAATCCAACTTGTGTGGACCTAATCCTTCCGTGCCCACAGCCAAAGAAATGCACAAAGCGCCTTCGTTTGTGGAGAAGCTGCAGAACACGATCGTGGCAGAGGGACATCCCGTCCGCCTCGAGTGCCGCGTCACTGGAGTTCCATATCCACAAATCTTCTGGAAACGAGAGAACGAGTCCTTCACCCACAACACAGAAAGAATCAGGTACAAACTCAAAACACACTTTTAATTTGAAGTATACCATTGTACCATTGTGTCTCTCACCTTAAAGCTGGAACTTGAAATTGGGAAACTTCACATTGAAATATATCTGTTTGTCCAACAGAAAGAGCCTGATGAAAATAGAATATTGTGAACAAATCATACTAGGCTGATTTATGGACATTTATCAACACTTATATTTCTACTAATACTAAATTACTCCACATACCAAAAAATGACATGCCAAAGATAACGCTTAAGAGACAACACAAACGCACAATATGAATTTAATACAACTACAACACCCTTATTACTCCGACCGCTGCCACTACTTGTATTCTATTGTGTTGTGTAATTGCAATCTTTGTGTCTTTTTGTCCCAGCATGCACCAGGATAACTGTGGCTACCTGTGTATGATCATCCAGCCGGCGATGAAGGAGGACGCGGGCTGGTACACGGTGTCCGCCAAGAACGAAGCCGGGATCGTCTCCAGCACCGCGCGGCTCGACGTCAACAGTGAGTTATGGATTTATAGGAATAGAAATGTCCAAATCAACCGGAAATCACACTTTGAACCGTCACAACGATCACAAAGGCTGCCATATTTGATTATGTGTGCAAACAACTACGTATTGAAGAAGATGACAAAGTCTGGGATCGCGTCTTTCATTCAGACAGAAGACATGTTTTATTGTCGATGGTAGAGACAGCACGAACAACACGAACAACAGAATGCAAGTGTATTATACTGTACAGAGCGGAGGCATAGAGACCTCCAATCAGCAGCTTCCACGGTGCCATGTAGCTTGGCCTTCAGATAGACAAAACAAGGGAAAAGTACTGGCTTCTGCACATTGATAGAATGATGAGTTTAACTTTAACAAAAGTTGCTTCAAAGTGTTATGAAATCTCACAGTATTCTGTCTGTTTAAATGATCAATGTCATCTCATTTCTGTGACAATAAAAGCGTGTTCTTCTCTCGCCTGCAGCTCAGTGGCAGCAGCCGAACCTCCCGAAGCTGAAGAAAGTGCGTCCGTCCACGAGCCGCTACGCCGCTCTCACAGAGAGGGGCCTGGACGTGAAGGCGGCCTTTTTCCCCGAGTGCTCCCCGCTGCCCCCTGGTGGTCTGATCGAGAGCGACGACTTGTAGAGACCTGCAAAAGAACAACAATGCAAAAAAAATAACCACCAGAAAGTGATTTGCTCAGAAACTTCCCCTAACGCCTTTACACTCAGAAACTTTTTGCGTCAACGAGAAGTGAGTCGGAAAGTAACTTTGTCAACACAGACTGCAACAAGTGGCAAAGAAAATGGCGGGGAATGGGGTTTTACTGTTTATACTGATTATATGTATTTTATTTAGCGTCTCCATAAGCCTTAATACATTAACTGGACCTTAGCTCACTATACAAGGTTGCCTGTTTCAATGTTTTGTATGACAACAGTGTACTGTATAGTGTAGTGCCATCTGCAAACGCATTTTCACAAATTCATATCACCAGCTCAAGTGCAAAAGTTTGGGAAGTAGGCAACTGACTGAGGAAGCTTTGGATTACTTTGATATTGGAGGCCGGGCCTTAAAAACAATAGGATTTTTTAAAATTCTTATTATTTTGATTTCTGAAGGAAGCAATATGGTCGGTTATTGAAAGATTGCAGGAGATGTATAAGGCTGCTTTTTGTGGCTATATATGGTAAAGAAAAGTGGATAGGAATAGCTTTTGGGATGCGAGGCTATCAGATAATATTTGACTATGGAATGTTGGAAAAGTGTGGGGAAAAGATGCGATATTGTAATGATTTCTTCTTTTCATGTCGTGTGAAATGACACTCAAACAAGGTGCTGTCTTTGCCTGTCACATCCATTTATTTTTGTATGTAAAAAAAAAACAAGAAACGACTTAAAAAGAAGTTATATCCGCTACTTCTGCTCACATTTCTGTATGTTATATCTGTATGTACTGCCTTAAATCACTTTGAAGGCAAATGTTTCATCTTTGCAGCGAAAAGTGAAAATGTATTATGCTAATAATTGTTACCACGAGTATACAAACACGCAATGGAGAAAAATAAAAGGGTGAAAGAAAGAATGCACTGATTTTTACACGGTGCTGTATTTCTCCATCTATTATTGATACAAAGTTAAGACATTTGCACAGCTGTATGCCAATAGCGCCTGTATAATAAGGACTGTTCTCCTGATGTTCTTTTAGGATATGAAAGTTAATAAAGGCTTCAGAGACAGTGTGTTATGTTTTTGTATCTCAATAATCAAAACATAAAATACTCAGAAAAATATGCAACTGTGATAACGCTGGGTTTATGCCTTGAGGAACTTTTTAGACTTAAATGATGATACAACTTGACAATGAACATACAACTATTCAATTACTGCGGAGCAGCAGTTAGAGCTTGTGTTTCAAATCCATCTCCAGGAATTTCTGTGTGGAGTTTCCATGTTCTCCCCATGTAGGTTTCTCCGGGTGCTCCGGTTTCCCCTACAACTGAAAACATGCACACGAGGTAAAATCCTCCAGCTCTGGTAGTCTTGACCAAACCGATCATCAACATCTGGAAATGGGTTCCCGCGCTCTGTAGTTCTGCGACCACTGCTCCTGACGTAAGCCTTCATGGCATCAGGATGGGTCAAATGCAGAGGATGAATTGCCCTACAGGGATCAATAAAGTGCACCTTTACCTTTGGGTGACCTTGTTCTGTAAATTGCCCTGTATAGATGAACATTACTGCTCATGTTTTCACAGATCAATGCCTGAATTCTTAGCTTGACTTTCCGCAGATCTGACCTCTAACTTAGCCTAGTGAAGTCATAGGATTTCCAAACTGTGGGACGTCCCAAAACCATATTAACACAGACAAGACCAAAAGGACCCTCCACCAGGAAGGTTGCATAGTGCAGCTTTAATACACTGAGGCTATAGATTTCAGCCCCCAACCCCCATGTCACTGTTTGACTTCAGTAAAATAACAGCTATAACATTAAAGCAACAAAATCAGCTTTTGAGGCAAATAAGAAATGTACATATTTTCACTTTTTGACTCTTCATTAAATGAACTGAATTATATATATGTCATTTTAACCTTTTTAACATTTTATTTTCATAAATAACTTAATATTAACTTAAAATAGAAAGCGGTCCATTGTCTTCATCGCTCCGTTAGTAAGTCGCTTATAGTCATTATTGCTTATGATTTTATAATCCAATACCCACAAATAGACAATACATCCACAAATGTGAATGAATCAAAAATACGTATATAAAGCAAAGGAAAGTAGCTTTGTTATTGTTTATTTAATAGAACATCGACCCAACATGTTCCCCTCTGTTGTACATCATAATGTATCTATCCAAATAGTTAATACCATGGCATAAAATCCACCCACTTATTGCAATAATAAAATGAAGACAGAAAATGCTTTGAGAATAAATGTACAATATTTTATTCACATTTACAGTGTCCTACTTTCACAGAATTCAGTCAAATCCAAAACAGACGTGGGTGACTTCATCTGCCCACACTTGGGAGTCCTGTGCTCGTAACTAGACTCTCCAAACATTCCGCAATCTAAAAATATGCCCCCGGTACCTCCAGCGCTACCTTTAATCCGCTCCAGCTGTGACCGACTCGCTGGGCCCCTGCAGAGGTGGGGCGGCCGCTGTGTGTGAAGCGACCAAAAACATGAAACCAATATTCCACAAAGTCACCGAATAGGAACGCATTCAAAAAGCCGATCAAAATCTGGGGCACGGAGACTGCAGAGTTATAAATTATGTCTACTGCATTTGATCCATCTCTCAAAGCTGCTGAGCTCCAGAAACTATAATCAGAATCAGAATCCTTTTTATTGCTACAGTATGTAAAAATGATTCTGAAAATAATGAAAATAATGAAAATAACGAAAATAACTAGAACATTTGGCATTTCAGAGCAACTGTCCCACTTAAGTCTCCCTTCATGGTGCTAACCAGGCAATGCCTGATCAAGTATTGAGCTTATCAGCACAATAGTGTTTTAACATTGGAACATGAGGTGATGGTTTCTGGAAATGCACCTCTGCAGCCACTGTTTATATAATAAACTGCAACAGTCTTAACAGTCATTTGTCGTCTGTTCATTGCTATTCACCCGCTGTCCTATGGTCTGTTCCGTGGCATGCCCAGACCTGTGGGGTCTAGGCTAGGGGAGCCCAGACCTCTGGGCCCCCCTCCCCGTCTGGGAGCCTCCTCAATCCTGCACTGCACAACCTCAGTCCTTGTTCTACAGCCTGAGTCCTGGATCTAAAGCCTTAGTCCTGGATCTACAGCCTGAGTCCTGTATCTACAGCCTGAGTCCTGGATCTACAGCCTGAGTCCTGGATCTAAAGCCTTAGTCCTGGATCTACAGCCTGAGTCCTGGATCTACAGCCTTAGTCCTGGATCTACAGCCTGAGTCCTGGATCTACAGCCTGAGTCCTGGATCTACAGCCTGAGTCCTGGATCTACAGCCTGAGTCCTGGATCTACAGCCTGAGTCCTGGATCTACAGCCTGAGTCCTGGATCTACAGCCTTAGTCCTGGATCTACAGCCTTAGTCCTGGATCTACAGCCTGAGTCCTGGATCTACAGCCTGAGTCCTGGATCTACAGCCTTAGTCCTGGATCTACAGCCTGAGTCCTGGATCTACAGCCTGAGTCCTGGATCTACAGCCTGAGTCCTGGATCTACAGCCTTAGTCCTGGATCTACAGCCTGAGTCCTGGATCTACAGCCTGAGTCCTGGATCTACAGCCTGAGTCCTGGATCTACAGCCTGAGTCCTGGATCTACAGCCTGAGTCCTGGATCTACAGCCTGTCCGTCCGTGAGAGCAGATCCCTCCCCCAAAGTTTTCACACTTTTTTCCCAATGGGTTTTTGAGTTGTTCCTTGCAGATGCTGGAGGGTCTAAGGACAGTGATGATCCGAGACATTGGTCCCCCCACTCCCTATGGAGCAATGTCTTGATTGGAAGGATTCTTTGAACTGTTGTTGATCTTTGTCGGCAATTTCTCTGACTGCAAAAATAAATTGAAAATAAATTGAAAGTGAATTGAATTGAATTAGGGTTTCCCACATTAACATTGTCCAGACCATGATGACGAACAAATGAAAATTAGTGGGAAAACAATAAGTGGGAGGTGACAATCATTTGCACATTTGCACATGTGCAAGAATCCCCACGAAACATTGTCCCAGAGGTGGTCAGGCCTGTCCATTCTTCACATGACCAGCTGCAGCCCCCCATCCACCACCAGCACCTGCCCTGTGACGTACGGAGACTCCAGGAGGAAGAGCACGGCGCGGGCCACCTCCTCCGGCTCCCCACACCGGCCCAGAGGGACGGAGCGCAGACGGGCTTCTGACACCCCAGCCGTCATGTCTGTGCGGATGTAGCCTGAAGGAAGGAGAGAAAAGTCTAAAATAAGCCCCTCTGGGAAAATAAAGACACCTTATTTTGGAAATTTTTAATGATAACATTTTTTTCACTCATGTGCCCAGCTCTGCTTCTGTACAAGTCTCTCCAAGTATATCTGTAACATGTTAGAGCCATATGAACCAACTCGGACTCTGAGGAGCACAGGGACTGGACTCCTGCTGGGGCCCAGAGTCAGGACTAAACATTGGGGGGGGAACATTTCAGATTCAGGCAGCTACTATCTGGAACAGTCTTGATTTAGATGAGCATACGTCGTCATTATTTTTAATGTACCGTGATTATTTATGCTTTTAATGCCTTGTATAATTATTTCTTTTTTTGTATGTTAATCACTTGGAGTTGCCATGTGTGTATACGGTGCTATACAAACTAACTTGCCTTGCGTTGTGTGAAGCCATTTATAGTCGAATAAACATGTTCTTTTCATTTCAAGTAATAGTGACGACAGAAACTACTTAAATGACCCTGAATACAAGTTAAGCTAACATACACCAGTTCTCATTGATAAGTTTTAGTAATACCCAGCGGTAGTGGCACAAGTAGAAGAGTGATTGATTGATTGATCCATACAGCGACTATTTTATGAATATGTGCGGTTACAATCAGGGCGGCGTTACTGTCTGCCTCTCTTTAATAAGGTCAAACTGAAGAATTCCTTTGTCTATCAGTCCATCCTGAAACTAAATAAGTATGTATGTATGTATGTATGTATGCATCTATCTATCTATCTGTTTAAAGTAAGGTAACTTTATTTAAACTTATCAATAAAGATCAGTGTGTGTGTGTGTGTGTGTGTGTGTGTACCCGGAGCCAGGAGGTTGACCCTGACGTTGCGAGAGGCGACTTCCTTGGCCAAAGAGCGAGTGAATCCCTCCAGCGCTGCTTTACTGGCGCTGTACACACTCTGTCCGGCATTTCCCTTCAGACCCACCACTGAACCTACACCAGACAATCACACGTAACAACATTCACGATCGATACAATAATAATAAACACATACAAATCTGATAGGGCAGTTTATGTCTTATCAAAATTAATATGAGACTAGGGATCAAGTTTAACTTATGATGTGTAGTAGTGTCTAAACTGTAAATGTGTGGTTATGTGTGTTATTTGTTTATGTTGGTAATGTGTGACAGTAATTGTGACAGTATCTTTAAGTCACACTTTTGTAGTCACTAGTTAAATATGAATCTCTGCTGCCGTCTGGTGTTCAAACAAAATACATTTAGTTTCTTTGAGAGATATTCAGAGATATTTGTCATGTGTGTCTGCATAAATGTGTGTGTGCATGTGTGTGTGTGTATTGGGTTGTGTTGAAAGAGTGACAAGCATTTGCTTTGTCCAACTGCTTTTTCAAACTGTTTATTTCTGTTTATTTTGTACCACAAGCAGCGTTTCCGTCGAATTGTTATTCACGCGGGTGGTAATGACGTTCGGCGGAAACAGTCCGAGGTGTTGAAGCTGCAAGTCGCCGCCGTGTGCAAGCTGGCTAGCACAATGGCCGACACTGTCATCTTCTCTGGGCCCCTACCTAGCACTAGCAGTGCAGAAGCATTCAGCAGACACTCGGCTTTCAACCGCTGGCTGTCTGGCTGGTGCCCTCGAAGTGGTGTTGTTCATGTTGACAATTGGAGTGCCTTTTGGGGAAAGCCCGGTCTCATCCGCTCGGATGATATCCACCCAACGTTGGCGGGTACATCCCTTTTGGCTAAGAATTTGGCCCTGGCTCTAAACTGTTCTGCTCGGCTCAAATGACGATGCAGAACTGAGGCCCGGGTGCAGAGCTGCTCTGCCACAACCTCTGAGCCCCCATCTGTTCAGTTACTAGCCTCAGAGGCTAGTCAGATTGAAACTGTGTGTGCATGTATGTGTATGCCTGTGTGTGCTCAGTTACTAGCCTCAGAACCTAGTCAGATTGAAACTGTGTGTGTTCCCCGCTTGAAGTCTAAAGCACTATATGCGAGGAAATCTGACCTAGGTGTCAGACACAGTAACTTAATAAAAGTTCAGACAGACAGAAATAGTTCTAGCGATAGGGTTGTTAAATGTGGTTTAATGAACGTCAGATCAATCTCGTCTAAATCGCTTCTCATAAACGAACTTATTATAGACAAGGGCTTGGATCTGTTTGCGCTCTCGGAGACTTGGCTCCAACAGGACGAGTACGTTAGATTGAATGAGTGCACTCCTCCGACGCATGTTAACTACCAGAAAGCCAGAGCTACAGGTCGCGGCGGTGGTGTTGCGATTATATCACACACCAACTTACTTCTTAGTCCCAAAACCAACAGCGCTTTTCACTCGTTTGAAAACTTAACACTTTCAATCACCTGTCCTGGGTGGAGAAAACAAAAAGCAGTACTATTTATAGTTTTATACCGACCTCCTGGTCCTTACAGCGAGTTCCTAACAGAATTCTCTGACTTCATTTCAAACCTAGTTTTGGAATGGGAAAACATAGTTATAGCTGGAGACTTCAATATACATGTGGACGACAGCACTGACAGCTTAAACAAAGCTTTCAGCGCCGTACTAGATGGTGTTGGTTTTACTCAGAATGTCGAGGAACCTACTCACATTCATAACCACACCTTGGACCTTGTCCTGACCTACGGCTGTGATGTCTCCAATGTTGACATCCAGCGTCAAAGCTCGTTGCTGTCTGACCATTTCTTGATCACGTTTGATCTCGCTTTGGAGGACTTTCCTGTCCCGCAAGATAAAACCATAATGAAAAGAACCTTAAATGATAAATCTATCACAAGGTTCAAAGAACTAATACAGCCTATGTTGAATACTGCTGCAGGTGAACCTGTTCACAGCTGCTGCAGTCCCTCAGTCATTGACCAAACGGTGGACAACACTATGGAGTCTTTAAAATCTGCATTAAATGCAGCAGCTCCTTTAAAACAGAAAACCATTAGGATTAGATCATCGTCGCCCTGGTACAGTGTTCAACTCCACACTTTAAAACAGGACGTCAGAAAATTGGAGAGGCTATATCGCCACTCCCACTCGGAGCCTGTCCACAGGGAGTGGAAAGCAGGTCTCCGAAACTACAAGAAGGCCCTTCGCGGGGCTCGAACTCAATACTATTCAACTTTAATAGAAGCGAATAAAAACAACAGTAGATTTTTGTTTGGCACCGTCGCTAAACTCACAAACTGCCATAGCGCAATCGAGCCTAAAATTCCAAGCTCACTGAGCAGTGTCGACTTTCTCCACTTCTTTAATAATAAAATTACATCCATCCGTGACAAGCTGGAGGAGGTTGCTCCTGCTGTTAGTGGTGGACAGGTTGAAGCGGCATACGTGACTTCCCACTTAGACTCTTCAGTGGGCCTTAATAAATTCATGGCTGTGAGCCAAGCAGAGGTGATCTCTGTGGTCACATCCTCAAAAGCCTCAACTTGCATGTTAGACACAGTCCCGACATGGCTCTTCAAAGACATACTTCCTTTGATAATTGAGCCTATCGTAAATATAATAAACGCATCCATACAATGTGGCTATGTCCCACAAGCTTTTAAAACCGCGGTAATCAAACCCCTTCTGAAGAAAACAAACCTGGACCCAGAAATACTTACAAACTACAGACCGATCTCAAACCTCACTTTTATATCTAAAATCCTGGAAAAACTTATAGCTGAGCAGCTCCGCTGCCACCTGCAGGAAAATAATATGTTTGAAGTCTTTCAAACAGGATTCAGAGCTCATCATAGCACTGAAACGGCACTAGTCAAAGTCACAAATGACTTACTACTAGCTGCCGATAATGGACAAGTGTCAGTGCTGGTCCTACTGGACCTTAGTGCTGCATTTGACACAATAGACCACAGCATTCTACTGCAGAGGCTAGAATGTGATATAGGTCTTAGAGGAACAGCCCTTGGCTGGTTTAAATCCTATTTATCAGATCGATATCACTTCGTCAATGTGAATCAGGACTCGTCGCCTTATTCTGGAGTGGAATTCGGTGTGCCGCAGGGTTCGGTACTCGGACCGATTCTTTTTACTCTCTACATGCTGCCACTGGGAAACATTATTAAAAAGCATGGAATTAATTTCCACTGCTATGCAGATGACACACAGCTTTATCTGTCGATGAAGCCTAACCAGACAGATCAGCTAGAAAAGCTCAGTGCCTGCATAAAGGACCTTAAAAGTGGATGACTCTTAACTTCCTACTTCTCAACCCGGAGAAGACAGAAGTGATCCTACTCGGTCCGAAGCGCCTGCGTGACTCCCTCACTAACCAGATGGTTACTCTCGATAATGTCAGTATAATACCCAGTAACACTGTGAGGAATCTTGGAGTCATTTTTGACCAAGAACTCTCCTTCAAGGCTTATATAAGCCAAGCAACTAAAACGGCGTACTTCCACTTACGGAACATCGCTAAAATTAGGAATTTCCTTCCTAAAAGTGACGCGGAAAAACTCATTCACGCGTTTGTCACCTCAAGGCTCGACTACTGTAACGCTTTACTGGCAGCGTGCCCTAAAGCCTCTTTGAAGAGCTTCCAGCTCTTCAGAACTCCGGTGTTAAAATCACTCCACTGGCTCCCTGTGGAGTACAGAATAAAGTTTAAAATCCTACTCTTAACATATAAAGCCATAAATGGCTTGGCTCCCTCTTATCTCCAAGACACGTTAGTGTCATATCAACCAGGTCGAGCGTTGCGCTCCCAAAACGCCAGACGTCTGGTGGTCCCTAAGGTCTCAAAGGTCACTGTTGGTGGCAGAGCATTTAGCTACCAAGCTCCTTTACTGTGGAATCAGCTTCCCATTTATGTTAAGGAAGCAGATACGGTCTCCACATTCAAGGCCAGGCTTAAAGCACTTTACTTTAATTTAGCATATAATTAGGTAATATATAATATGTAGTGTATATATTATATATATATGCTGTATTATGTTATATATTATGTTATATATTATTCAATAATGTATTGTGTTATGTTGTATATTATGTTATATATTATGCTGTATGTTATTCTTTATTCAAGGCTAGGTTTAAAACAGTCCTCTTTAGTTTAGCATATGGTTAGGAAGGTAAGACTCGGAGAAGGTTAAACTCCTCAGAGTGTCAGTCAAGCTGCATAGGGAGTTAGTTTGCTGGGAGAAGTATGGTAACTTGAGCACTATCCTCTCCTCCTTCCTACTTTATCTGTTTAGCATTTTTAGGATTCTGACTGTAGTTTGTTCATTGCTATTCACCCGTTGTCCCATTGTCTGTTTCATGGTACGATGACGGGATCTCTGAGCCTGGCCTCCTCCATCTGCACCTGCGGACTGCCCCGCCCGACCCGCCTGGGAGTGCTTCAGTCCTGCACCGGACCTGTCCACGTTCAGCGGCCACTGGTCCACGTTCTGTAGCTAGCTTAGGTCCTAGATCATTAGCCTGTCCGTCCGGAGGAGCGGATCCCTTTCTCATATGGGTCTCCCTCCCTGTGGGTTTCCCTAGTTCTCCTCCAAGGTTTCTCACTTTTTCCCACTGGGTTTTTTAAGAGTTTTTCCTTGTCGATGCAGGAGGGTCTTGTTGGACAGTTAGTGTCCAACAGAAAGGATTGGTGATGATCAGGACACTTCAGCATTCTACAACATGTATGGACATTTTCTTCTGTGTGTGCTTTATATTCTTCATGTGTTTTAACTGTTGATTCTCTGACCTGTGTTGGTGATTTCAATGGTTTTGTTAAGTCCTCTGAGATGACTTCTGTTGTGACCTAGGGCTATACAAGAATAAATTGTATTGTATTGTATTGTACCTTGTTCTATTTTTTTCTAATTTTTTGGTTATTTTTAATTTAAAACATTGTTGTTTTTTTTTAACAGAATCATCCATTTCCTCCTCATTTTCCTCAACTGACTCAACGGCCACACTTTGAATAATTCGTATTGATAACTATTCTAGAACATTTAAATTCTTGAAAATATATAATTTAACTAGAAAATTGAGCATTTCATACCATGTTGTCCTAGACTCCTGGCAGCGGCGACAACCAGGTTAAGATTAGAACTAGTTAATCTGATTAATTTGGAAATGTGATGAGATAAGATAAACTTTAATCGTCCCACAGCGTGTAATTTCCCGGTTCCTCTCACATTCCCTTTAGACAAAAGGATTGAGGAGAAAGTATGTTTGGGTCTCTCCAGTGGACAGTACCTATATTGACGATAGCTGCATCTTTGGTGTGTAACATGCTCTTCAGCGCCGCCCTACAGGTCAGCATGGAGCCCAGCAGGTTTGTGTGCAGTACTAAGACCATGTCCTCAGCGCGAGTCCTCAGTAACAAGGCGTCTCTGGACAACGGCAGAAGACACACGTTAGTATTTCATTCTCCTCTTTCACTGTGTATCTGTCTTTATGCCCGAGTTCAGACTTACAAGTTAATTCCAGCTGCGTTCACCAGATACGAAATATTTCCACAATCTTTCCGGATTGTTTCAAATGTTTTCTGTACGTCGTTCTCTTTGGAGACATCACAACTGAAAGAAACGTGTCTATCTAAAGACAAAGATGAAGGTAGCATTTATAAATAGGTCAACCGAATAAGAGGAAACCAATAATATACATTTTTCCAAAATTTAGACCTACTTTCAAAAAAAGTATGTGTGTGTACTGCATCTATTGTATTATATTCAATGCTGTTTTGAAATTAATGAATACATAAATAGACAGATTCCTGGTTGACATGGACCCATTAATCAAGTCGCTTCAGCCACATTGAGTCTGATGTGAGTGTGAATGACTGGTGGTCTGCCCCAGGGCGACTGTGGCTAAAGTGGTCATTTATCACCACTGTGTACAGAGTGAATGAATGATTGTATGTGAAGTGTCTTTGAGTGAGCGTGATATAAGTATTATGCATTATTATTATTATTATTTAGTTTTAAAAAGTGGGTGTGGGAGTCTAATGTATCTCATTCCAACTCCACTGAAGAAACTGCATTCACATTCACTAGATAATAATAATAATCATAAATAATCTTTCTTCATACCATCAGAAAGTTGGAACCATTTCCTTCCTACCTCCAGGTAAAGCGGCCGCTGTGTCCCTGGCAGAGGTCTCATTCCTGGACAGCACAGCCACCGTGCAGCCCCTGAGAGCCAGGAGCTGAGACACAGACCTGCCGATGCCCCTGGAGCCACCGCAGACCACCGCCAACCGGGACATGATCCTGACGAGACACAGCAAAGAACATAAAGTGGAATACTCCTTTGGATTAAACTGCAGATTACGGTATTTTGCATGTTGATACAAACGACGCATCTTAGACCAGTTTTGCTTTGAAACGTTACCTCCTGGTTGCAGAAGGTCAACATCACATTAGATTGCATAAAAAGTGTAAATTAAATTACCAAACTTTTTTCAAAATGTTGGGTTTTATTAGCCATAGCTACGCAAAAGTACGTAAAAGAAAAGGAACACATCCACATACAGGTTGCGATATCTGTACTTTCTCAACGAGTGTCTAGACATGTGCAATATCTATACTTTCTCATTGAGTATTATAGACAGGTGCAATATCTACAGTATATACTTTCTCAATGAGTATCTAGCACTAAGTTTAGAATCCAAACATCTGATTTCACTCAGAGGGACAGACTGGCTGTAACTAATGATTATTTACCAATTACCGATTCTTTTGTGATTAATCACTTGGCAATTTTTGGACATTGGACCAATCCGCTAATTTAGTATTGCAGAAAAGACCTGAAACAAACTCTGAAGTGAATTATTCAATTATAAGAAAAAAAAAAGTTTGGGTCACAATTGAACACAACTGTCCGAGTTGAACATAGAACATCTTGATGAATACATTATTGTTATTCTAGTTCTGAACCCAACTGTTTGTTTTGGAAATCTGGGGACACCACTTTTTGGGCAGAACTCATAAACCGTCCATAAGACTGTGGAACATTCCAGTCAAAGACAAATTATTTCTGTTAAATGTCATGAACTCAGAAGGTGACTGACAGTCTATGTTACTGCTCCTCCTCCACTTGAAAACATACAGTGCATCTTGTAATACAAATGTCATACAATATTAGATCAAGTCCAGTAAGTATTTTACATCCAATTTGAGCTTTATAGTTTTGAATTGTTACTTACCCACTTACAATCGTGTCTTTATATTCAGAGCAGCATGAATACAGTAATATCTCCGCGTTTATAATGAGGATAATAAACAAGGTTCTGCAGAAGAATGTGTGGACGGCGCCATGTTTGTTTGGTGTTACTGCGTTACACCACTTCAGCCACGAGAGGGCGCTCAAAACCTACTGCTAATATTTACAGTCTGCTAGAACAGCACAGCCCTGGATCTTTTATAGTCACTCTACAGTCTATAATATATTACAGTTTATGGTCTATACTCTGCATATATGGCAGGTTACAACAATATTCACTAAAACACGGTTAGGTTTATAATTGTATTTTCTGATTTACAACACATTCCTGACCATGTGAAAGACTCGTCCAACAATTTCTAATGAGAAAATAGGAATTTACTTTTATTCAGGTTATAATTTACATTTCCTGCTGAATACAGAATCAGTTTCCTGGTGTGATACAGGGCTGCAGCTATTTCTCCATAACACCCGTAAACACATGTTTTAGAAAACATATGATTCATACATAAAATCATATAATCTAGGGCTGAAATACAGTACAGACCAAAAGTTTTGACACACCTTCTCATTCAAAGAGTTTTTTATTTTCATGATTTTGAAAATTGTAGATTCACACTGAAGGCATCAAAACTATGAATTAACTCATGTGGAATTATGTATGTACTAAATAAAACATATCAAACAACTGAAAATATGTCTTATATTCTAGATTCTTCAAAGTCTGATTACTGCGTCACACACTCTTGGCATTCTCTTGATGAGCTCCAAGAGGTAGTGACCTGAAATGGTCTTCAACAGTCTTGAAGGAGTTCCCAGAGAATCTTAGCACTTGTTGCCCCTTTTGCCGTCACTCTGCGGTCCAGCTCACCCCAAAACCATCTGGATTGAGTTCAGGTCCGGTGACTGTGGAGGCCCAGCACCCATCACTCTCCTTATTGGTCAAATAGCCCTTACACAGCCTGGTGTGAATCTACAGTCAATAGTCATGAAAAGAAAGGACACTCATTGAACAAGAGTGTGTCCAAACTTTTGGTCTGTACTGTATATACGTAATTTCCCCAGAGTGCGTCTGGGGAAGAATTTCTCGGACTCTCGGATTATAAATACAGGAGCCCCACAGGGCTGTGTTCTCTCTCTCCTGCTCTTCTCCCTGTACACCAACCACTGCACCTCCAGCCACGACTCCGTGAAGCTGATCAAGTTTGCAGACGACACCACCCTCATTGGACTCATCTCCAACAACGATGAGTCCGCCTACAGGAGGGAGGTGGACCGGCTGGTGTCCTGGTGCAGTGGTAACAACCTGGAGCAGAACGCCCAGAAGACAGTGGAGATGATTGTGGACTTCAGGAAGAGCACTGTCCCCCCACCCCCACCCTCCGTGATGGACTCCCCCATCACCTCTGTGGAGTCCTTCCGTTTCCTGGGCACCACCATCACCCAGGACCTCAAGTGGGAGCCGACCATCAGCTCCCTCATCAAGAAGGCCCAGCAGAGGATGTACTTCCTGCGGCAGCTCAGGAAAGCCAAGCTGCCTGCACAGATGTTGGTGCAGTTCTACACGGCCATCATCGAGTCCATCCTCACCTCCTCCATCACCGTGTGGTTCGCTGGAGCCACAGTCAGGGACAAACAGAGACTACAGCGCATTGTGCGCTCTGCAGAGGAAGTGATCGGCCGCAGCCTTCCATCGCTGCAGGACCTGTACGTCGCCCGAGCTCGAGGCCGGGCTGGTCGTATCACAGCCGACCCCTCTCACCCTGCACATGGACTATTCCAACCACTCCCCTCAGGCAGGAGACAGCGGTTTATCAGGACTAGAACCTCCCGCCACAAGAACAGTTTCTTCCCCTCTGCTGTTGGACTCTTGAACACTTCTTAACCTGTCCCCCCGCCCTTTATAAAGTCACTTTACTGCCCATCATACGTCACTTTACTTCACTGTACTGCTGTCACCTTACATTGTGTGCACTATGTGCACTTGTATATTGTAAATAGCAACTGTAACTCTATTTTAAATTTAAATGTATTCCTTAGAAGTGTTTTTTATTCTTTATTTTTATTCTTTATTTTTATTATCTCTTTCTGACTGTTGCACTGAGCCAAAGCAATTTCCAAGTCTGTAACTTCCTGTTACTTATGCGGCAATAAAAATGATTCTGATTCTGATTTGTGCATGAAATAATAATAAATGCAAGAGAAAAAGGAAATTGCAATTGAAGTTTTTGTGGCATCTAATATTCATTCATTCATTCTATCACTACCTCTTTTATTGGTTTCTGGTTGGGGGGTTCATAGCACCAGTCCCTCGCTGATCCTCCTGGCCGGATTGTAAAACTGGTTCATAAGTATGCCATGTCCAGATTGATTCACATTTGATTCGGCTAGAGTTGACTAAAGACAAAGGTGCACTATCTCACCAGCTACATTAATGCTGTATTCAGAAAGTTGTGACTGAGCTTTACAACGAGGTACAACATACACATGCGGTAGTTGTCTACTCTGTGGAAACTCTCGCTCGAACGCTCGTCGGAGTAGACAACTACCGCGAGATCCTTTACAAGGGACGGCAAAAAAATAACAACTGGAGAGGTGCGGAGAACGATAAAAATAACCCGGGTTACACATATACTGGTGAAGTTGGCTGGATGACACTGTAAACTTTTGTTTATCTCTCGATGGCCACTTTGTGTCAGCCATGCAGAGGGCCACACAACACTGCACAGAGGGCCGCATTTGGCTCGCGGGCCTCGATTTGGACAAGTAAGTAAGTAAGTAATGTTTATTTATATACCGCCTTTCACAGACCAGAGTCACAAAGCGGTTTACAATGGCCTGCTATAGATCAATGGAAAAACAGCATAAGTCATTAAAGTGCAGGGGCATAGTGCAGTTCTTCCATATGAATTGTTGAAGCGTTTTCCTCTATTAATACATTTGTTATAGTTAATGCTCCCTGAGGTCTACTTCTTAAGACATCTATTTATATAAAGGACACATGCAAACCAGATTTCCCTTTAGTGGTGGTCTTGGCCAAAGCACTTCCCCATGAATTCCCCTGATTATGTTTTATGTCATTATTAGCGGAGAAAAATATCTTTAAAACGGCGTCATGCAGACTGCAGCGGAGGAGATCAGAGGTGGCCCTGGCCGTGCACACCTGGTCAATCCATCAGAGAAAAACAATCGATTTGTAAAAGTTAAATCACTTTCACAACCCGTGTCTGACCGGACCTGTGACCTCTTCAAGTGTAAATCTTACTTTAGTCCTTTCACAACACATATGGGCCCCAAAATGTGCACTGTACGGGGGGGGCTGGACAGAATGCAACTAAAATCATCTGTATTTAACCGTATTTTAAGTTACGCAGCAAAAAAGGATAAATTATGGGGTAATAAATGCTTAAATTGAGTGGTTTTTATCTTAATCTGAGTACATTCTGACTGTCTTAAAACAAGATGTGGCAATAGGACAAACTGTTGCATTTTATTCTCATTCCAAGAGAGATATTTCTTGTATCTTTTTAACAAGATAAATCTGCTTGTCCCATTGGCAAATTTTGTTTTAAGGCAGTCAAAATGTGCTGAAATTAATATACTTTTAGCCAAATTTGACTTATTTTTTATAATTTTTTGCAGTGTACCAACAGTAAGTTTAAGATTGTGTACATACTACTACTACTATTGCCACCAGATGTACTGCGCTATATGGTACTGAAACGATTGTGTGTCACTGGTGCAGTTACAGTGCAGAAGGAGAATCCCTGTGAAACATTTATATTATTTGTCCTCATGACTCTGTACAGACATAAAAGTGACTTCAAAGAAAATGTACAGATGGTAAATGTCGAGCCCAAAAACCATTGGACAATACATGTAGTAATTACGACTACTAGTGTCATTACTACTACTATACTTGCATGCAAAAGCCAGATCCGATTGCCAGATCTGAAGCTGTGCAGGGCTGGGCAGCACTGTGATGGGAGACCTCTGGAGACACAAGGTGCCACAGTGGGGCGGCTGTTGTTGTGTCCTTAGGCAAGACACTGCACCCACATTGCCTAGAATGAGATTGTGTGTGTGTGTGTGTGTGTGTGTGTGTGTGTGTGGTCAGAGGGGCTGTTGGCACATTCTGGTTGCCTTGCTTCTGTCAGTGTGCCCCAGGGCAGCTGTGGCCACAGTACAAGTTTTTTTTAGTTTAGTAGTTTTTATGTATGGAGTGAAATGACCATTATGTGAAGAGTCTTGTAGGATCCTAAAAAGCGCTATATAAAACCATTGCATTAATCTACAATTATACCAGTACTACCACTACTAAATACTTCAACTACTGCAGCTACTACCACGACGTCTACTACTACTATAGTACCGCTGCTACTTCTGCTACTACACTGGCGGCAAAGTGGCTGAGTGGATAACTCTCGCTTCTCAGGAAGACGGTTCTGGATTCGAATCCAAGTCAGAACAGGGCCTTTCTGAGTGGAGTTTGCATGTTCTCCCCGTGTCTGCGTAGGCTTCCTCTGGGTGCTCTGGTTTCCCCTACCATTAAAAACATACACAATAGGTATGAATGTAAATGAGAGTGAATGGATGGTGTTGGTTAGTACACAAGATCTGGACTCGGAACATTGTAGTTACTACCATAACTACTATACTATCACTAATTCTACCACTATTACAGTACCATACTAAAACTACCATCACTACTACTACTCATTGTGGCTTATTTGGCCAAACTCGCATATACCCATGTTTTTCCTGCTGAATATGAGGGAATTGTAAAGATGTCAATAAAACAGACTAATTACTGTCGTTTAGGTCCCACTAGAGCCGAGGTTATCGCACAGCAGAGACATTCTCCATCTGAACCCACCTCAAAATGCATCTTATCACATTCCCCGAGCTTAAGTGGTTGTAAAAGTGCTCAGTCTGGTCTCTGTCGACACACCCGGAACATGGACCTTGTGTTTCCAGACTTTATGAAGACAGCACTGGTTACAAAGCACTGTGCAAACGGCAATGCACAGCTTTTTTTTTTTCTTTTTTACAGCTCTGTATATGCAC